TCAGGATGTAGTAATCACGTAGTTTGCTAATAAGGGTGAGGGTAGCATCCTTAACCGGACCATAGGCCTTCACACTGATCAAGCCCTGTTGAGCAGACTTCCAATCACTGATAAATGTAGCCGGAGCCGCGAAGGGGAAGTCTGGCTTTGCTGTGGATGGATTAAGAAGGCTTCTTAATTCTCCATCGACTCTTTTGGCATGAATCTTGCGAGCGTACCCATGAGGCCTTGTTACGCCGGGGGAACGTTCGTTGAATTTAGCACGTCCTGTGTAAGGTGTAGAAACCCAGTCCATCTTGATGCCAATAGGGATAGAGAAGTAAAAGTGGCACATGATTTCTTTTGCATAGGCGTCAAAATTAACTTCCGGCGGGATAAAGGCAAAGCAACCCACTTTAACAATGTCCCATATTGAAGCGGCGACGGGTAACGACACCGCGGCCCTGGGAACGGAGACCAGTGTGAAGATAGTCCTGTACCGCCTCTTCTGACGTGTCCCTTGCAAAGCCGACCCGCATTTGGGTAAGTAGTTTCTTCTCGCCAGGCTTGCTGTTGGTTGCTGCATAAGGAGAATTCCCATATTCCATATCGCAGTAAAGACTCAGGGCCCGGTAGGACAAAATTTTGTTGCGTAACTCAACCGAGTTCCGAATCCACCGGTTCTGTTGTTTATAAGTGTCGTCGGAGATAGGAAGGATCTTCAACTCGTGAAAGGAGTTGTTCAAGGCTTCCTCCATGGATGTCAGCACCGCAGATAAAATTGCCTCAGCAACCGTGCCGGAGTCCGATCCCGAGAAATTTGTCGCAAATGTGGTCTCAAAAATATGACATCTGCAGGTCATCCCATCCAAGTTAACTTGAATTAATTTATTAAGTTTCTCAGCAAGAGTGGGCGATGGAGCGAGGCGACGTGTAGGTGGAGGTGTATGGATCAATGAAGAGCTGTCCTGAGAGACCTGAGTCGGGCTTGTCAAGCTGTCAACCGCCATGTTGTCGTCTTCTGACCTCACCAGTGCTTCTACAGATTCTGTCTGAACCACCTCACTGTTGCTCACCGCATCATCATCCTCATTATCATCATCATCCTCATCTCCGTCGTCCTCATCATCTGAAGAAAGTGGTGGGCGTCTTGGGTTGTTTTGGACCGCTGTCACTAGAATTTCATGGTCATCATCGTCCTGATTTGGTTGTTGGTAGGCATCACCGTCAATAGTAGTGGCATCGTCGTCCTCAGCCTCGGCATTGTCAGCATTTCCCCCACTCAATCCGTCTTCATCCGCCAGTGCCTTGTATCTATTGTCGGTCAGATTACGATAACGCTTCCTTTGATCCACTAAAGTCGTTTTGTTCAATTGAGACTGGCCTACCGCATTGTCCAAATGGTCATTCATTGGATCACTGATCTTCTGGATTGCATGTTGAATATGATGATATGAACTTTCTGGTCGGAAAAAGGACTGAAAAGGTGCCACCCGTTTTTGTTTGATGCCATGAATGATTGACAAAGACGCCTCGTTGAAGGTTGTTGCCCATGGATAATCAAACATTTCAGAACAAATCAACCAAAAGCCAACAAGTGGATTTTCCAGACAAAGGTGAGGATCCGGCTTGTCCCCTTCAAAGAATTGATTGTTGTTCTGGTTTTTTTCAAATTCGTCAATATCAAAGAACGAGAAAGGGTTCTGCAATGAAATTTGCATTGCAAGAACTCGCAGTGACCAGACGTCTTCGGCTGCTGTATCCTCAATTGTGTAGAGATCAAAAGAAGAGATGAGATATTGAGCCAGTTGGGCGTTATCAGAGTTGAGATAAGTAAAAATCTGAAGAAATCGATAGTTGCATGTTGATGTGCCGGCATAGTCGTTGAACAGGGGTCTTCAAATCGCAAACAAGGTTGATTCCAAGCGCCTGGTTATCGATCATCCCAGGCTGCAAATAAGGCGTTGCCGGTTTGAATGCGATCCATTCTTTGCATCGCTTGATTGACTGGTTCACCACAGTACAATTTCTTTGACCACCACTCAGATAATTTGGGGACCAGTTTATTGTAGTCCTCTCTCCGCCGCGACTCTCGCTCGGCGATTCGTTGTGCCTCAAATTCGTCGGCCGTTCGTAGAGCGGCTTGATCATCGGCAATTTGCTTGATGTCAACATCATTGGAATTGACAGGATCTCTGTCTTTGCGCTGTTCCAAATCAATTTCCAGTCGTTTTTTCATCGTTTTTTTCCTACAGAGGAAGCCTTGGACTTAGCCACGCCCAGGTTTTTTGCATTAGCCGAGGTAGCCTTCGAAGCTGGAGATTTGCCCATGTTTTGCCAGTGTTTTGCCGTTTGTTTGTTGATAAATTCAAAGTTTTCTACGTATAATCACTACTAGCGCTACGCGGAGCAGATTGGCTGGTTCTGTGTGTTTGCGTGTTGTTTCGTTTCTGATTTTCTTTTTTTTCTATATTGTTCAACGTATTGTTCAAGATGCTTCACCAAACGCATTCAAAAATACAGCAGCAACCTGGCTCAGTGTGTTGGGCACACGAGTGCAGATGGGACAAACAATATTTGCTGCAGCTTCTGGTCTTGTGGGCCGTTCTTACGCCAACACTGTTTTGGTTAGCCCTGCTACAGTCGACGGCAATGACAAGCAAACTGCCACAATTTGCTTCCCACCAGATCCTGTTTGTGCGCAGTTTGCAATGTGTCTCATGGATGATAGTTGGTCCATGGCTCTTTCAGAAGACACGACTCTGAATGGAAGACCAAAAGTATGGTGGGTACAGAAGATGAAGGACCTATTTTCAGACCATTTTTGTTGACCGGAAAAGGGAGACTTTGGGGAAGTCATGGTGGCTTTGTATTTTTTGTTCTGTGCAGATATTGCCCGAGGTAGTTTGAAGGACAATAAGGAGTACACTACTTTCTCAGTACCACTAAATGGTTGGATCAATTGTCCAATCAATGGCGGTCGCAGTGGTGATGATGGTGACAACGGTGACGACATGATGACTAAAAATAAATATTGCCAGGTCCATTTCAGTGCCATCTAAGTCTGTCAAAATTATGCCCGTGAGTATGATGACTCGTGGTCTTTACTTCAGAATGAAGTGTTCTTGGAAAACATGTGCATATCACTTTTGTTGTGACCCATTCCTATCTGTTCTTCTAGGCTGGTTCACAGATAGGATGATCTATTCCTCTGGGTGGATACTTCATCACCAAAACCACGCTTTGAGCTATGTATCCGTCACTACATCATTCAAATAAACAGCAATTGCACCCTGCTTTGTCTTCATTCATATGACTGCTTACCAATATCACATATGAGTGGACTTTCCTATTTACATGCAGTCAGGTTCTATATTG